AGGTCCTATCCTATATCTGATATACACTTCACCGATAGGAGACATTTTACGATCTCATGGCATGAAATTTCATCTATATGCCGATGACACTCAAATCTATGTCTCGTTCAATTATAAAGATCAGAATGACCTTAAGCAAGTTAAGTCGTGCGTAGAAGCCTGCCTCGTGGATATTATGAACTGGATGTCAGATAATAAATTAAAACTTAACACTGATAAGACGGAACTTCTTATTTTGAGTTCCAAATTCCGGGCAGAGCCTATATTCCCTGTGTTGACTGTGGGCTCCGATATAATTACTCCAACACCCCACGCTCGGAACATTGGTGTTACATTTGATAAATTTCTTACAAAGTCTATACATATTAATGACATATGTAAGTCAGCATTTTACCACCTACGGAACATTGCTCGTGTTAGAAGATACCTGTCGATGCATACTACTGAACAGCTTATTCATGCTTTTGTGACTATTAAATTAGACAATGCGAATGCATTGTTGTATGGTCTTCCTAAGGATCAGATTGGAAAGTTACAGCGTGTTCTAAACTCTGCAGCACGACTGTTAACTTGATCCCACAAGTATAATCATATTACACCTATTTTAATACAGCTACACTGGCTACCAGTCGAGCAACGGATTATATATAAGATTATTTTATTGACATTTAAAGCGTTAAATGGACTTGCTCCGCAATACATTGCAGAGATGATCAGCCATTATGAACCTTCTAGATGTCTTAGATCCTCTAAAGCTAATTTACTTAATGAACCAAGATTTAATGTAAATAGCTACGGTGGTAGAGCTTTTTACGCAAGTAGTCCTAGGTTATGGAATAAATTACCTGTCTCTATTAGAGCATGTACAGATATTTCTGAATTTAAGAGTAAGCTTAAGACCCACATGTTTAAAATAGCCTATGATTTATAGATGTATATAAGTTATAAGTATATATAAGCAATAATTAGGAAATTTGTTATATTTTATTGTAAATTTCTAGATTAATGAATGTAAAGCGCTTAGATCTATGTGTTATAAGCGCTATATAAACTTGTGATAATAAATTATATTTTAAAATAGTAAATAATCATGTTCCAGAATACTTGTTAAAATTATTGCCCCAGACGGTTGAACAAAGGTCCGGTTTATCATTAAGGCAGTCATCTAATATTTCTTTGTTTTTTGTTAGAACTGAAAGATTTACAAAACCCTTTTTTCCTTCGGCTACTATGTTATGGAATTCGGTTGAGTACTCAGTTCGTAGCTTGTCATCTATTAATTTATTCAAAAAAGCTATTCTTAAATTTTTTGATATTTCATGTGACCGTAATCATAGCTATTTTGATCATTCCATTGATAGATATGCTTCAGTATTGCATACATGTTTGTGTTTAAATTGTTGTGCGTTGAACTACTATCTATTTAGAATAAATCGTAGTTTAACACCTGACTGTATTTGTGGTGCTGGCTGTGAAACAGTAGCTCATTACTTGTTAAAATGCGCACGGTATGCTGCTCTAAGATCAATCTTGCTCTCGGCTGCTGCACAAGTTTATGGTGATAGCTGGTGTCGTTTATCTGACATGAAAAAAGTGAATATACTTATGTTTGGTTCATCTAATTTAGAACTCAAAGACAATACTGTGATATTTGAGTATGTTCAACAATATATTAGGGAATCTAAACGTTTTCTTTAATTTCGTCAAAGCTATCATCTTTTATTGTTTAATTAATTTATTATGTGTGTTTCTATATATCTGTCTTGAACTTTGTCAAATTAATGTAAATGTAACTATATGTCTGTCCAGTCTAATGTAATAGTAAATGTAACATAAGCCCCTAGATGAGCCTAGTGCTCTTGGGCAAACGTTAGTAATATATATGTTTAAATAAAAAATAAAATTATATTTAGTAAATATTTATTCAGTTTTTAACATATAAATAAAATAATACAATAAGATTTATTTCTTGACTTAAATTGGTAGGATTAAAAAAATGCTGTATGTATTGTTGCAAACTAAATAAATCAATCTATTATAGAGCTACATCAGATTCTTGGTGTCAAAAGATACTTTCTTTATGTCATATTGGCATTTAATAATTGCAACAAGTACCAACAATGCAAAAACAAGATACAAATTGTGCATTGACCAACATTAAAACAGTGTACAGCATTGACTAATAAAAAAAGTTATCTGATAAACTTATCCGATGATTTAATGATTTAATAAATCTTTCCCTATTAATAAACAAAAATAGAAAAACTAATAATAAATATTTCAAAATGACGTACATGCACACTAACAAAAAGTCATAGGGAGGATAGCAGTAGGAGGAAACTAAATTCCTATTTATGAACTGCTCTCCACGTTAAACCAAAATAATAATAAAAAAAAACAAAAAAAAATAGAATAGAATAAGTTAACATTGTTTCAGGAGTAGAAACGACATTAGTTTTTGCTTAAAGCTGGACAATGAAGTGGCTTCCACAACATCCGATGGCAAAGAATTCCAGTCTGAGATATAGCGATTGAAAAACGAGAACTTAAGGTTACAGGACACCCTTTTTGGCATTTTGCGGAAAATCGCTACTGCGCGCTCAATATCAGTCCGATTTTCATCAAACTTTCACCAAATGTTCTCCAGTGCATACAAAATATGGTAAAGTTTTAAAATTAACAAACTTAAAAATAATATAATAGAATTATTCAGGAAAATCTTAAATTGCGGTACCGTTACGCTTTTGAGTTGTGCTCCTGCTGGTTTCAAGTTATATTTATGAATATATCATTTTTATAAGGTAAAATAGTTGTTGTAAAAAATTGTGTCCGGAAATTTTTGTTTATTTCGTCATTCCGCTGATATGGCGATTTCTTTGACGACTGCAATATATTTCTGAATTGTTTGAGTGAATTGCTCTTTATTTTTAAATTAAAAAAAAGCCGAACACAATTTTGAAACTGACGTATTTAGCTATGTCCTGTGAAAATTTGAGAAAAATTGGTAAAAACCCGCAGGAGCACAACTCGTTTGAAAATCGGTAATTACCGTAAAACTTTTCGGGAGAAAATTGAATTTGAATATTACATTTTCAATGTTTTTCTTATTGCAGCGAAACGTATTTTATTAAATAACTCTGCGAGTTTTCAACATTTTTCGTTCAAACTTGGTCAGATAGTAGAACTAGTCTAATGCTTTCATTGAAACCAATAAAAAATTTTTAGGCAAAATTAACACTCAAAGGTGTTCTGTAACCTTAAAGTAATTAGTATGTGCATGCTTTTGTCTTAGTTTATATCTATGTCTGGATCTAGTACGAGATTCTCCCACAATATCCAGATATTTAAATTTGTCAATGTGACACAAACCAAACATCATCTTATATAACTGAACAAGACAAAGGTACTTTCTACGCAACTCAAGCGACGGCCACTTGAGCTTCTTTAGTCTTTCCATATAGGGTTGATCTGGGCCTTTTTTATCTGGTAGCTCGCCGTTGAATCTTTTCCATTGCGTTTACATGTTTAATTAAGTATGGATTCCATACTTGGCAACAATATTCTAAAATTGGTCTTACTAAGGACTTAAAGGCAACCTCAATGCCTTTTCGATTTTTGTAGCCAAATGTTCTCCGTATTAAACCCAAGATCCGATTAGGTCGTCCACAAATAGAGCTAATGTGATATTCCCAAGATAATGAGGATTGTAACCAAACCCCTACGTGTTTATGTTGTGCAACACTCTGTAATGGTATACCAACAAGATTATACTCATAGTTCAAAGGGTTTTTTTGCCTTGTGACATGAACAATTAGACATTTTTCGTTCTGCAACTGGACTAACGATGCATCACACCAATCTCCTACTTGATTCAAATTTTCTTGAAAAAGGACGCAATCGTTACTTGTAGAAATTTGACGATGAATAACACTATCGTCAGCGAAAAGGTCAACATTACTAGTCACACTTGAAGGTAAGTCGTTGAGAAACTCTGCTGAGAGAAAATTCATAATATGTTTGTGAACCATGCGTTCTAAGGTTTTAACAACAATACTCATGAGAGAGATTGGACGGTAGTTCACAGCCATAACACGTTCACCTGCCTTGTGTATTGGTACTACATTTGCCGTTTTCTAGTCGTTAGGTAACTCACCAGTACTCAGTGATAAATTGAATATACGAGTCAGGGAAGGAGTGAGTTCATAAGCACATTCTTTTAAAATCCTTGGTGAAATGTTATCTGGACCGGAAGATTTAGTAATATCTAATTCAGATAATAGACTAGCAACATCGTCTACCGAACATACCAAGTTTTTAATGACATGATTTGTATACAATGGGTAGATGATGATTTGTCACGTTTATTGAATACAGAATGAAAAAATGTGTTAAAAAGATGGGCAATTGATGAAGGACTGTACCCTTTAAGGCCATTAAGTTTGATTGTTTTTGGAACACTTGATGTACCTGTGCGGGACTTGACAAAAGTCCAAAACTTCTTTGGGTTCGCCCCAAGGGAGTTTGTAAGATTATTAACATATCTGAAGTAAGCTTTCCTTAATTTATCTTTAACTTCATTATTCAATTTTTTATAATTGGACCATTTATCAGGACTCCCAGAGGATTTTGCTATTTTCCATAGCCTTTGTTTTTTGTGAATTAATTTCTTAATGTCCGAGTTAAACCAAGGAACATTCCGCTTAGACGAAAGGAATTTGGAAGGGATATTACGTTCAACAGCTTTGAAAAACAAACTCTTCCATGAACTCCAAACAACCTCAATATCCAATACCAAGTCAATACAGTTCCATGGGATATTTCTAAAATCCTCTTTTAAACCGTCCCAGTCAGCATTTATATAATCATATACTAGTCTGGGACTACATTTATGGCGAGCAATCTTAACTTTCAGTGCAAATTCAATAGAATCATGATCAGAGTTAGCTAAGCCTTCACGAACGTTTGACCTAAGCATTAATTCTGGTTTATTTACAAGGACAAGGTTCATAATGGTACCCTTTCGAGTAGGTACATTTATCATTTGATGTAAAAAGTTGTCATCGATCATGTCACAAAAATATGCAGAAGTACTGTCGCTGCATAAAGTCGAAGGCGACGGAGCAGACCAATTAATATTTGGGAAGTTAAAATCTCCAAGTAATACAAATGTTAAGTTTTTTCCATTACGCTCAATCATCGATAAAGATTTTTCCAGTTCTTGCATATCGTTCAAGTCTGTCGAGGGCGGCCGATAAAAAACTCCCACTAGCATGGTTGTAAGCGGATTTGGTATGACAACCTCGCACCAGAGCACTTCACATTCGGTTTCATAATCAAGACTTCTTCTAACACTCAAATGATGACTGCATGCTAGTAATATTCCACCCCGCTTCTCAAAGGTGGGCTGACTACAAAATTTTTGTAGTTCGCTATAACTACAGCTACTTCAAAAATATGTAGTCGGCTACAACTACTGCTACTATTTAACAAAGGTAGTTCGCTACTGACTACAGCTACTGCTTAAAAAATGTAGCGAACTATTTCGCTATTCTATATTTTTTAGTTTTATGGTATTGGGAGCATCCACTAGCTCAGGCTGTAATACAACCTATAACAAATCGACTTACGAGTAGCAACAGTAAACAAGAAGGGTCAAAGCAACATTTTTGTAAGCACTACAGTGTTCAGGAGCAGGCACAGGTCCAGACCGTGGCAAAAGTGGCTCGTGCCACGGTCAGATTTTTCCCACCTAGGATTTTCCGGGGTTCACCTTTGTTGGATACTGCATTACGCATTTTTAAGAAGTATATATTAATTATTTGAAATACAGCAAAATTGAGCAAATATAGGTCTATAGCAAACAATTTGAATAATATCTTTCGTAATTGTTCTCATATTAATATGGATACGTGATTAAAGCAGGAAAAACTTCCAAAATATATTCCTTGATCAATAGTATAATTATCCAGTTAAACACTGAACTATAAAAACCGCCGGAAGCGTCCCGAATTGTGCCGAATATGTTCGGAAAACAGTCGTAAATTCGAAGCTGCGATCACAGCCACAAAATGCCACAGTCAGCGTGCAAAAAATTGCGCAATTGTTACTAAATATAGTAACTTTCTGCCACGGTGCAGCGTTGCAAACCAATCACAGGGCAAGTTGTGGTCATGTGCGCCACGGTCTGCCATGGTGGCTCTATTTTGATTGTGCAATACAAACGGGATGAAGTTACATCACACGCTACATTGGGCAGTTTTGAATCGAATGCTATCAGGATGGAAGCTTTTAATTTAAAAAGTCGATATTCTTAGGAAGCTCATCGAAATCTTTCAACAAGCAAACCTAAGCGAACATATTTCAGGGGAATTATCGCTCTTTAGGCAACAATGTGATGAATTTATCACTGAAGAAAGGCTGCGCCATATAAAATCTACTGGCGACATCATGCTGCGAATGTGCGAATTTTCAAAACTGCAGTTCACCAAGAGCCAAATGAAAGATCTGAGCCTAATGTTCCTGTTAGGTAAGAATTTTTAATCGACTTATATTAAATTTGCATTTACGCTGGGGTCAGGGAATAATTTCTTTATGCAAATTTGTATGCATGTAAATTTTTGTCAGTGAAATGGTTATATGATCTCGAACACATGGCGGTTGTCATGTCAATAAAATATAAATTGCATTTATGGGCTATGTAGTCGTGAAATATTAGTAAATAACTCTGTCTAAAACTGTTATCAGTATTTTGCTACAGTTAATACGGCTACAACATTTGATTGTCGACTATAAAATGAAATGGCTTTAAATAGCGCCTTAATATTTGTAGGTTGACCAGGGGTCGGTTGTTCTATAAAGCTAGGTTAAGGCTAATCCTTGGTTAAAATTTAACCTAGTGTTTTTGTTTGTGTGTTTGTGCATGCCTGTTTACTTCGATCGAAACGTTGAAGAAAACTTTCATTCATCCAGACAACATTTCTGAAGAAATATTTCTAAATTGCTTGTGTGATGTTACTCTGAGTGTATATCCACACCGGGCAGGCTTGAAACATATGCCTGGCCACAGTGGGATTCGAACCTACGACCTTTGGAATACTAGCCCAATGCTCTGCCAACTGAGCTACACGGTCAGGTCGGTTCGAGTATGCGATACTTCGGAACCGAGTCTAGTTCCTTCGATATCAGTGTAATCATCTAATAATCATGATATTTGCTGTGTTGGTGTAATGTACTCAGGTGAATAAGATGCTTGTGTGATGTTACTCTGAGTGTATATCCACACCGGGCAGGCTTGAAAAATATGTCTGGCCATGGTGGGATTCGAACCTAATCCTGATCCTAATCCTGACATTAAAACCTAATCCCAAATCTAAAACTGCATCAAATTCCCATGAGTTAGTCAAGGCCAGCTGTGAATTTGATGTCATCATGATGTTACTCAAATTACACAAAGACATTGTAGGGGGTCTCATTGTTAAAGTAATTTTGATTATGGCTCAATTTCCATATTAACAATCCCAAAATTTAATCTCCAGTCCTTACCTTAAAACCAACTGTAGTTCTATTAGCTACCCTGATTAATTCTAGTAATTATCCTTTCGGCACAAAGTTATATGGAAAGTGACCCATGATTATACAAGCAAAAGGAGGGAAAACATTTGGGAAAACAAATGGTTCCTTGCTATTTCTCAAATGGCACGGCATAACATTTGTTCTGATCCAGATAATTTGAGCGAAGTTTGCAAAGCATAAATTATTAATCACATAAATACTGTGTGGTACAAAGAAGTTGACATTCTGGTTAAAATAACCATTGATATTTAAATGCTGATTTTCTTTCAGTACTTCGGCTAATGGAAATTGTCTCTTTAAAAATAATGCATGTTCTATTGCGTTCATATATGCATGATCCATGGTGTGCATGTTTGCCTTGTCCACAGTAATTCAGTGTGCCATTCAGTAATACTACCCACTCACCAATGATACTGTAGCGAAAGAAAATTGGGATTCCTTGGATTCAATTGTACAATATATCCATGGGATTATCTTGATGGCAGTGCAATTGAATATGTCCATATCTTTCGTTGTGCTGCGATGCCACTGTCTTATTTGGTTGATCGAAGAATTCCATCCACCAAGAATCATTTTGTTCACAAGACCATTATTTTAAAGCATGCCTTCCAACCTTATTGAAGTCTGCCATGCTAGTTCATCCTAAAGTTCCTCCTACAGTTTCTCCTAAAATTTCTACTAAAGTTTCTTCTGCTCCTTCCTCTACACAAGTGACTACATCTACTAAAAAGCAGACGACTGGTACAAAAAGAAAACAAATTAGCTTAGATCGATGCGCTTCTTGTGAAACGAGCATGCAACACACAAGAAACTGTAGACAGTGAAATCAAATTTCCCAGCACTAGTAAAGGAATTTCATCTGTAAGTCCCAACACTGGTCCTACTTCAGAAAAATCTGACACCAAAACGCAACGAACTTCTACCAATTCGTGGCCAGATGATGTCTACAACTACGTAAATCTGGTGTCCAGTCTTCCTGATTCGAAAAAGTACGAAATTCTGTGCAATCATTGGAAACCTGGTTCCTCCAAGTGCTTCTGCTGTCCAGAAACTATGTCAGCATGGTGAAAAATCCAATGTTCACGCAACGGTAACTCTCCGTGCTACACAGTTTAAGCGAATGATCGAGAATAAAATACTTGGTATCGATGTGCAGCTGAGAAAATAACCCACCCCGTAAAAGATCTACGTTGCAACTGAAACGCCAAGATGATTGAGTTCAATGTACAGCCCTAAATGGATTTTTTTGCTACGAAGAACCTGAAATACACAGGAACAGTACGTGCGTAGCCTTTGTTGTTGTTTTATGTAAGTACGGTGATTTTGTAACATTCTAATGTTGTAATGTTCGCTGAAGAACATGGTATGTTGTTTAAATATTTGACTTATTTAGTGCGTTTCGCTATTTGCTGTCTAAAATATGGCGTAATTAATGACGAATTATATGATAGAATTCGATGCTCAGAACTCAGGAAATGGCATTTCCGGGGTTCAAATTTCAAAAATTTTCCGGGGGGGAATGCCCCTGGACCCCCTAATTATGCGCGGTTTTGGAGTGCGCCACGGTCAGGGTTTTAGGCTGGATCCGCGCCTGAGGATTGCCAGTTTTCATTGCGCTAAAATAATCTTTACTGTGTAAAATAATCTTTTAAGCAAACCATGTCTTAATATCAATCTATTCTATGAACGGTTGCTAACAATTTTAAAAAGTAGCGAATAGCGATTCGCTGTTTGAAAAGTAGTCAACTACTTGGCTACTTTTGGGCAAAATGTAGTTTGCTATAACTACAACTACTGTTTTAAAAAAGTAGTCCAAAACTACTGGCTACTTGAAAATTGTAGTTCGCTACTACCCACCCTTGCCGCTTCTTGACCGGTCTTTCCTAATAACTTGATGGGAACTAGGAAAGATTTTACCATCAGCAATCGAAGAATCTAGCCAGGTTTCTGTAACGGCAATCACGTCATAATCATAAGATGATAATCGAG